ATTCATCTTTGTATTTTCCATTTTTTCAGTTAATTCTTCTAACTGTTTTTTATATTCTTCATACTCTTCTCCTGTAAATTCTACGAATTTTTCTTCTATTTCTTCTACATCTGTAATCATATATTATTTTTTTTCATATTTTTTCCCTTTATTATTTTCCTTTTGTGTTATCCTAAAATCTTGATGTGGATTAATTATAATTCTATCTTTTCCTTTAAGATTATTATCTAAAAGAGCGTTTCCTACTTGTAGATTATATTCTAAATTTTCTAATTTTTTGTGTATATCCTCAAAACTTTCATTTGTGGTGTTTTTAGGTAAATAGTAATAACTAGATTTTTTATGTTTTTCAACTTTTTTCAAAAATTCTTCAATTATATTTTCTTCATCTACTATATTCATCATAATTTTTGGTTCGTAACATGACTCTGATACCATTTCATCGAAGTGTGCAGCGGAGGGATTAAGATTTTTTAGCCAATTAAAATCTTTATAAGTATTTAAAATATCACAATAGAATTTATAAAATTAACTATTTTTTATTAATACTTTTTCTTCAATAATTATATTTAGTTCTTTAATTCTTCATCTTAAATTAAGAATTAGTTTATATATATCATTTTCTGTTTTGATTGTACTATTATCTATATAAACATTTTTATTTTTTAATTTTGGATCTAAATATTCTGTAAAGAAACCTTTTATATCTTCTTCTAATATTTTAATTCATTTTCTGTTGCGTTTTTTAGATCAATAAAATTTTGTATAATATTTGGGTTTAAATTTATTAAAGATTTTTTATCTATATTTCTTTGAGGACCTAATTGAAGGTTTTTATACATTGTAGTGGCTTTGGTTGCAATTTCTCAATGAGGGGTATTTTTAGAAAGATTATTGTTAAAAGGCTATCTTTCAAATGATTATATTTTTTGATCTAATCTTACAAACCTCTCTTGTATTTAGGCTATCTATAGGTATTTCCTCCAATTTGTGAAGTATTTTATTTTGTATATATTAAATTACATCATATGTAGCCGCAAAATGTGATGGTCATTCAAGCCGCCATGATTTTTTAAAAATGGAAAAGTTAATAAAATTAATCTTTTTATAAAAATAATATCTGGTCTTAATATTTAAAAAATTTATAACCTCCATTCGCGTATTCAGATTAGTGAAAAATAATAAATTTAGAAATTAATTTTTATATTCAATCAGTAGTAAAATAAATCAATTTGCATCAACATTTATGACACAATTTCTTGAATCTTTACCAGGTTGTAGTCTTCTTTACGTATCAAGTCGAGGAATTTCTTAAATCTTTACTAGTGAAAAATAATGGATTTCGAAACTTAAAGTCGTAAATTTTTTTAAATTAAATCAATAGTAAAAATAACTCCATTTAAAACAAAAGAAAAGGCAATTGATCCAAGTTTATAAGAAAAGACAATATAGATAACCGACAAATATATAAATTGAGCAAAACAAGAAAACTCAACGTTGTTTCTTCACAAAACCAAAATTTAGGAAAAAACAAAAAAAAAAAAAATGGTGTAGTAAAAAAGACTCGAAGCAATTTGAGAAATCTATTACGCATATAAAGTAGATGCAAAAAAATAGAAAATTGAGAATCCATATAGAATACGATAGTCATTGCCACATAAGTAACTACAGCTTGTGCAAAATTTCATGTATATGTGTGTGTGTATTTTAATTTTTTTTTTTTTTATTTACTACTTAGAAAGTTCAATGATGTCTAGAATTATATATTTGATGATTGGGACAACACACTGGCATTTTGTTAATTTTAACTGAGACATCAACGAGTTCAACGAAACCAAAATAGAGTGACTGATTGCTTTTAAATTAGAGTTTAGTAGCCTGATTGCTTAAAGTTCAGTGAGTCAATCGCAACTAGGGTGAAAGTTCGATGACCTTCAATATAATTAACTCGTTTTTCGTAGTTCATTGTGCTTGAATTTCTTGAAAAGCAATACTTATCTGTCATGGTAAAAATGGGATTGTGTTTACTATTTAACTGATTTTACAAATTATCAACCAAAATTTGTTTGTAAAACATCATTAAAGTAGTAGTTTCAATAAAATTTAACGAAAATAGCTCATTTGACATTGGAGAGGCCCAAGTGGCCTTTCCCAACTGGCCTCATATTCTTGACCAAAAATGCTCGGGAAAAAAATCATAAATGCATTATATATAATTTCATTTTATACTTCTCAATTGTATTATTAATCAGTTTTACTACATAATCCCATTAAAATTTTTATATTACTCTATATGAAATTGGGTTTCGCAACAAGTACACCGAGCTCGATGTACAAATATCAAAACCTATGAAATTTTCCTTTTTGGAACCATAACTGAAAATTTCAAGGGGCGGAGAAAATGGTGATATTAAGTCCATATGCTAAAAAAAAATGGAGATTAAATTCAAACAGCAAATGATTATTACATAGCAATTAACATTACAATTGGGATTCACTTATAATCATCGAGGTTGCAATAAGGTCTTCACGGTTGTGCAATTCAAAATTTGATTCATCAAAATTATATCTCATACTTTTCTTTTATAGAGATTACATGTAATTGTATCAATTTCTAACATATCCTAACTAATGCAACACAAAATAATTCACTTAGTTTATGTTTTTGTAAACCAATTTACGTTTGGTATTGAATGCGGATTTTGTCAAATATCATGAGTTTCATTTTGTCCAAAATCCATTTGCTAAAAGTTTTAGTTATACAAACTTATATTACCCGTTGAAATTGAACTACCTAGAGCATATGGATTATGTAATGTCTATAACTTTTTCATTCAGCTGCACCCAGAGCTATGACTTGAATTTACATAACCATCCCATTTATATAAATGAATGAAGCTTAATATATATGTAAAATGGTTGACAATATCTATTTCGGCATAACTTATGCTATTCATCAATTGAAAAATTTAGGATTTCACTACTTATTTACTATGGTGTTGTGCTGTATTGGATTACACGTGATTAAAAATATGATTAAGATTGTTGTTTTTTTTTTTTTTTTTTTTATAATTACCAACTCTTGTAACACCAACACTCGCGAATTCATATATATGGTTGTATTTATATTCCATTTATGATATATCTTCTACCTTTTTGTCTTGTTAGATATGCATACATGTGTTCTATTCCATTTATGATATATCTTCTACCCTCTGTCTTGTTGCAATAATGGACTAATGAATGTCTTCATAACGTGCAAATCAAGAACTTTTGGACTGTTTATACCAATTGGATGCAAGTGTCTTTACCTCTATTATGAAGTATATGAACGAAATAAAAATCTGGACATTTTACTAAAGATGGATGTCGATTTCTTGGCACGATATCATACAAAAAGTAAGATTTTGATATGAATAAAGCTATAAATTTTATTGATTCCTCCTAATGAAGATGATGGATGATCTAAGAATTTCTTTAGTAAATAGAAAGATGGTGATTGGTATTTCCTTTTGGAAAGTTAAGCGCGTGATTTGGGACGTGCTTGATTGAGGTCAAAGAGTATATTAATTGATGAGAGAGATTTTTTCAGTTATCATTTTACTATAACAATTGCAGCATTTTTGGTATAAATAATATCTAAAAGTAAAATATGGCCTTAAATAAAAAGCAATGTATATGGTGGTGAAATTTCCAAGCTCTAGCTCCTAGATTTGATTTGGTTTGGCTCGAACCATAGTTATCCCTTGTCCACTATACCAATTCTAAGTAACATACCAGTTTAATTGGAATTATTCAAAATAATGCAATGACATGAATGAAGTTGTGATTATCTTTAATGAAAAAAATAAACTTATTTGATCACAACAAAACTAATGGAAATTCTACTCCATTAGCTTAGAGTAACCCAATGAGGCCAAAATACCAGTCTAGATTATCACACTTGATAGGTTCAATTAAATTAACCATGTGACAATGCACTTAAACGAATTTATCATTTAATTCCATATAGTTGCCGTCTAAACTTGTGCTTAGCACACGTGGGAATGAACATCATTACTCATTATATTAGATGATTACCAAAAAAGTCTAAAATCAAATTGGATACTAATGGAAATTCTACTCCCAAAATCAATCAGCTAAAAATATGGTAAGCACTTTAAAGAGTAATGCTATGTAGTTTAACTGGAATTGCAATCTCAATTTAGGTGTTCTTAAATGATAAGCTAAATGAAATATGGAATTAAATTGCACCTATCATCAAATGTCACATTAGTGTCACTTAGGTTGAGGTTGCAATCTCAGTGAAGTAAAATAGTATTACTCTAGAGCTTTAAAACAAGGGTAAAGGTGTGTGCTATTTTTGAAAACAATCATTTTATATGTACATCAATTTTCACATCTTTTTTCACAGTACATACACATGCAAGTGGGTGGGATCCACGATTAAAATAATCATGAACCCCATCTTCGTGAGGAAGTGTGAAAATTGTTGTAAAAAAATATACTGTACAAACAACATTTTTATTTTGAAAAATATATCTGTCCGGTCGTCTCAAAAAGCCATAGTGAAGGGCCTAATACTAATAAAAATGTTACTTCCAAAACTAATCAGTATGATGATTTCCATTTGAAACGTCGAATTTATTGATTATTCTAAACACGCATAACTCGAATTATCCACATCTAAAAATAATAAACAATTTGGATTTTGGACATCATAATTTGCTCATACACTAAGAGGGTATTTGATACTCATTTTGTTGGAAAAATGAATTTTAGAAAAGTAGATTGATGAGAACGTGTAGATGAAAAATAAAAAAAAAAATTGATTTACGTGTAATATCATTTTAATCAAAAATGTGTGGTTAAAAAGAGAAAAATAAAATACATTTTCATAAAAATGAGAATGAAACAGGGTCTAAAGATAAGCATCAGGCAAGAAAGAAGCTGTCAAGTTGCAATGGCACAGAACGCGGCAAAACGAAAACAATTGGCCCTTGAAACTACGAACACCTTTGTCGTCTTCCCCACGTCACCTTCTGCTACAACTCTAAATCGTCAAAACCGTGTGCTCTCTGTCCCATCGATTTCTTCTGATACCATCAATCCTTTCATCTACTTATACAAACCCCTCACAAATCTATATTTAGCATTTTCAGCTCGAATTTTTTTTCACAACAAATTATACAAAATCAAATCAAGAATCGCCAAAAATGTGTAGAGGATTTCAACTGAACGAAAAAGATCGCTTGAGACTCAAAGCATTTTATATTCATTTATCAGTTTCATGTACCCGAAAGATTTTACCTGATATTTTGACGCTGCATTATCTTCCTCGGATTAACGGAAGCCCTTTGGAGATAAACGGGTCAGGTATTAAACCCGATTCGCCAGGTTTTGTCACGCTCCACAGGGTATTATTGGAGGAGAGCAAGGGGGTTGTTTATGGAAGTAGAGAGAGCGTAAAGGCGTGTGAAGGATTGAGATTTGAGATATTTGTTGGGGATGTAAAGGTGTTGAAAGGGACTTTTGGGAAAGACGAGGGAGAAAATTGGAAAATGGAGTGCAAATGTTGTTTAATGGAGAATGATGATATCAAGGTGAAGGATGCTGAGATATGTGTCTCTGTGGAAGGTCAAGCAGCGGTGATGAGAGAGAAGGTGGAGATGGCAGTCGCACGGCGGCGGAGTCGCTCGACGTGTTGTCAATTGGAGGAAATTCCGGAGGAGAGAGAGGGAGATTTTGAGCTTGAATCAGACGGCTGCTGTGGTTGTTCTGATTGTAATGGCGACGGCAGCAATAGCGGTGGCGAGATGGAGGTGGAGGTGGAGGTGGAGGTGGAGGTGGAGATGGAGGCGGACCAGGCGGTGGGATGGGCCCTGGATGTGGGGATTTGGGTGATGTGTCTTGGCGTTGGATACTTCGTTTCAAGGGCTTCTTCAAAGAGATTGCGTAGGAAGAGACCGATATAACAGGATTTAGCCCCTTGTGGCCCTATTTTTTTTGTAATGAAAATCGGTGGAGTAATATTTCTTTGAAAAAATGGGTGATTGAAAAATGAGGAAATTTTTTTAAAAATAAGAGAGAAAAATAAAATGTACTAGAATATAATTTAATGGAGCCAAACGGGGCCTAGATTACACTTATATATGCATTTTTCTTTTTCGTTTTTTTTTCTAATTTCCATTTTTAGTGTTCAATCGTATTTTTGTATTTATAGTATTTACAAGAGAATCTTCAAATGTAAGATTTTCCTTTTATTGGAGAAACTTAAATGCCTACAACTCATTATTAGGCATTAATAAGTAAGCACGTAGTGCATGTTATATTAAATGAGTCGAGTTAAGGTTTTAATTTATATTTCTATTATATTACTTTATCAAATCTTTAGTTATTGCTTAATGTTTGAGTAATGTTATTCGCAGTTACTCATTATAATAGTCGTTCTAAATAGCATGCACATGACAAATAATTATTTAATGTATGAATATGATGATCGCTGTAGCGAGCAATTCTTTATTTTTACTAGATATCAAACTAAAGAGGGGTTAATAGCACAAAACGTTCTTACGTTTAACATTTATTGCGGAAAACGTCCCTACGTTTCTTTTTTTTGCATTTTCGTCTTTATTTCAACGTTTCATTACTAAAAACGTCGTTTTCATCATTTTTGAATATAAAATAACCAAAATACCCTCCTATTTAAATAAAACCAAAATAATAATAATAATAAAGAATAAATTACAATCTTACTCCTAAAGGTTTTAAAAAGTGCAATTGAGTTCAAATAATTATTAAAAAGCTTAATCGCACAAAACGTCCCTAGGTTTGGTCTATAGTGTGCAAAACATTCCTACGTTTCAAAACGATGAAAATGACGTTTTTCGCAATGAAATGTAAATCTAGTGATGAAAATGCAAAAAAAATAAAAATAAAAATAAAAAATAAATTGAAACGTATGGACCTTCTCGACAAGAAGTATCAAAGGTAGGGACGTTTTTCGCAAGAAGTGTCAAACGTAGGGATGTTTTGTGCCATTATACCTTATTGAAATTGAAACAATTGCCATATGAATGAACCTCCATACCATTTCCAAAATACCATCACCCAAACTCCGATAGCCCCGCCTATTTCGACGAGATCTATGTCATTTTCAACACAACAATCGACTATACTCACCAGATCGCTTCTATTCAAGGTCTTTTCTTCTCCAAATGGGACTGCCACCTTAGATTAAAAAACTCCAACCAACCATCGCCCAAACCGCCGAACCTCCATACTATCGAACCATCTGTTAATGTTTTAAGACCATGAAAAGAAGCGCCCTGGTGAGTATAGTCGATTGATGTATTGGAAATGACATAGATCTCTCCGGAGTAGGTGGTGTCGTCGGAGTTTGGGTGATGGTATTTTGGAAATGATATAGAAGTTCATCGATTTGGCAATGGTTTCAATTACAAATAAGGCCTTATAGCACAAAACCTCCCTACGTTTGACACTTCTTGTAAAAAAAACGTCCCTACGTTTGACACTTCTTGCGGAAAACATCCATACGTTTCAATTTTTCTTGCATTTTCATCCCCATTTTCACGTTTTATTGCAGAAAACGTCATTTTCATTATTTTGAAACGTAGGGATGTTTTGCATATTATAGGCCAAACGTAGGGACGTTTTGTGCTATTAGACATTTTCATAATTATTTGAACTCACTTGCACTTTTTAAAACATTTAGGAGTAAGATTGCAATTTATTCTTTATTTTTCTTCTCTTTTTTTGTTTTATTTAAATAGGAGAGTATTTTGATCATTTTATATTCAAAAATGGTGAAAATGACGTTTTTAGCAATAAAACGTTGAAATAAGGACGAAAATGCAAAAAAAAAAAAAACATAGGGACGTTTTCCGCAATAAATGTCAAACGCAGGGACGTTTTGTGTTATTAACCCAACTAAAGAGCTAACATGCTAACTATTAGGGTAAAAAAATCATATGTACCTATAATAATTCATTTTATACTATTAAATTAAATTCAAATAATAACACAGAACACTTCAAAATCCCATTACAATCTCAAAAGTATTGCATAATAAACTTTCCTTTTTGTATATGTAAATGAAACTTTAGATTATACTTTTTATATATGCCCTTTTTTTTTATCTAACCATTTTTACCGTTCAATTTTTTTTAAAAATATTTTAGTATCTATAGTTTCAAATGTACGATCTTTATACTGGGGATACTTATAGATGAGACAATTGATTTTCAATACCTATAATTCATTTTTAGGCATTTATAAGTAAGCACGGAGTGCAAGCTTTGTATGTAAGATTAAATGAGACGACAATGTAACGTACAAGATTTTAATTTATATATCTCTTATATTATTGTTATTAAATCTTTAGTCGTTCGTTAACGTTTACTAGATATCAAACTGTAGTTTTGACATCAAGTTTGACGGTTCAAAAAAAATAAATTCCCTCCACTCATTTTTTTACAGCACATTTGATCAAACTAAAGAGCTAACATGCTAAATAGGGTTATTTTCCTTGTAGAACAAGGTTACAACCACTCACACGAGGGGCTCATGGCTTTGCTAAATATTATATGTCGACAAAGCACGCACTAACTTGCCAACTATCATAGATCGATAAAGGGTATGATCGAGGAGTGAAGCATGAGTCCTACTGTGTATGCGGTGGATTAGATTAACGAATATAGGGAACGATAAGTTTAATTTGATCACAATAAGTCTAGGAAAAATTTCATAAGTAAGATATTAAGTATGATATATTTCAAAATTAAGAAAACAAGTTTTAAATTTCAAAAATCATATTTTTATTAAATTTATTTATGATTTAATTAATTAATATATTTATTAATTAAAGATATTTAGGTTACATATATATATACAATTTGATCACAAATTAACAATTTAATAGTCACTTATTATTTTTTTTATCACAAATCAAAAATTTTATGTCACGAATTATTTTATGATCACCATTCAAAAAATTTGTATGTTACAACTTGTTCATCGGTTACAAATCAAAAAATTATTTAGTTACGGATTAATTTTTAGTTACAGCTTATCAAATTATTGGTCACAACTTATTTTTCGATCGCAAATCAAAAATTTTATAAGTCACATTTATTTTTAGGTCACGAATAAAAAAATTTATAGATCACAGATTTCAAATATTGTTAATTTTTATATGTACAATTTATTAGACAGTCACAAATTATTAATTTTTTAGGTCACACATTATTTTTTGATCAGAATATATCTTTTTCATTGGTCACAGATTAACCAATTCATTGGTCACAAGTAACCAATTAATCTGTGACCACCATCAACACTTACGACCACCATTTCAATGCTGTCTCCAACAGTACCACTACTACCATCACCGCCAAAAACACTACCACATTGATCACAAATTAATCAATTTATTGATCACAACTTTCAATCAACCAATAAAATCATCACAAACACCTACACCCAAAATAATTGCACAACTACCGGAAAATCAGATCTAAAATCATTGTATAACCATTGGTTATAATCCCAAATCCGGTGGACCCGATCACAACAATGACGCTAGCTACTTCAGATCGATGCCGCGCCGCTACAGTGGTGATAGTCTAGTAGATCGTTGTAGTGTTGCAGATCGTCGCGACAAGATGAGTGGTAACACCGAACACCAACACCACATCGTCGTGACCAGATACCGCACTAACACTGAACACCATATGAGTGGTAACACTACACTAACACGTTGCGTGCCACCGCCTGTTGCTGTCAAATGAGATGGGTTTTGGAGCCGATGAAGGAAGGGCAAGGAGGCCGAAAAGGTGAGAGTGGGTAGGTAAAGAGGGTGAGAGGAGAGTGGTAGCTGAATTTTAGAATTTGGGATGTATATGTATACTTAATTTTGTAATACAATTATTAATATTTAAAATTTATTAATTAATTAAAAAAATTTTGATTGGAGAAATACTAAACATGACATCTGATTTATAAAATGAAAATTTTAAATTTATTAGAATCTGTAATTTCTAAATAAGTCTAGGGGGGAAAGTGTATCGTTTAGTCTGGGGATACTTATAGAGGAGACAATTGATTTTCAATACCTATAATTCATTTTTAGGCATTTATAAGTAAGCACGGAGTGCAAGCTTTGTATGTAAGATTAAATGAGACGACAATGTAACGTACAAGATTTTAATTTATATATCTCTTATATTATTGTTATTAAATCTTTAGTCGTTCGTTAACGTTTACTAGATATCAAACTGTAGTTTTGACATCAAGTTTGACGGTTCAAAAAAAATAAATTCCCTCCACTCATTTTTTTACAGCACATTTGATCAAACTAAAGAGCTAACATGCTAAATAGGGTTATTTTCCTTGTAGAACAAGGTTACAACCACTCACACGAGGGGCTCATGGCTTTGCTAAATATTATATGTCGACAAAGCACGCACTAACTTGCCAACTATCATAGATCGATAAAGGGTATGATCGAGGAGTGAAGCATGAGTCCTACTGTGTATGCGGTGGATTAGATTAACGAATATAGGGAACGATAAGTTTAATTTGATCACAATAAGTCTAGGAAAAATTTCATAAGTAAGATATTAAGTATGATATATTTCAAAATTAAGAAAACAAGTTTTAAATTTCAAAAATCAGATTTTTATTAAATTTATTTATGATTTAATTAATTAATATATTTATTAATTAAAGATATTTAGGTTACATATATATATACAATTTGATCACAAATTAACAATTTAATAGTCACTTATTATTTTTTTTTATCACAAATCAAAAATTTTATGTCACGAATTATTTTATGATCACCATTCAAAAAATTTGTATGTTACAATTTGTTCATCGGTTACAAATCAAAAAATTATTTAGTTACGGATTAATTTTTAGTTACAGCTTATCAAATTATTGGTCACAACTTATTTTTCGATCGCAAATCAAAAATTTTATAAGTCACATTTATTTTTAGGTCACGAATAAAAAAATTTATAGATCACAGATTTCAAATATTGTTAATTTTTATATGTACAATTTATTAGACAGTCACAAATTATTAATTTTTTAGGTCACACATTATTTTTTGATCAGAATATATCTTTTTCATTGGTCACAGATTAAACAATTCATTGGTCACAAGTAACCAATTAATCTGTGACCACCATCAACACTTACGACCACCATTTCAATGTTGTCTCCAACATTATCACTACTACCATCACCGCCAAAAACACTACCACATTGATCACAAATTAATCAATTTATTGATCACAACTTTCAATCAACCAATAAAATCATCACAAACACCTACACCCAAAATAACTGCACAACTACCGGAAAATCAGATCTAAAATCATTGTATAACCATTGGTTATAATCCCAAATCCGGTGGACCCGATCACAACAATGACGCTAGCTACTTCTGATCGATGCCGCGCCGCTACAGTGGTGATAGTCTAGTAGATCGTTGTGGTGTTGCAGATCGTCGCGACAAGATGAGTGGTAACACCGAACACCAACACCACATCGTCGTGACCAGATACCGCACTAACATTGAACACCATATGAGTAGTAACACCACACTAACACATTGCGTGCCACCGCCTATTGCTGTCAAATGAGATGGGTTTTGAAGCCGGTGAAGGTAGGGCAAGGAGGCTGAAAAGGTGAGAGTGGGTAGGTAAAGAGGGTGAGAGGAGAGTGGTAGCTGAATTTTAGAATTTGGGATGTATATGTATATTTAATTTTGTAATACAATTATTAATATTTAAAATTTATTAATTAATTAAAAAAAATTTTGATTGGAGAAATACTAAACATGACATCTGATTTATAAAATGAAAATTTTAAATTTATTAGAATCTGTAATTTCTAAATAAGTTTAGGGGGGAAAGTGTATCGTTTAGGTCCAACTAGACATGATTACATTTTGGTCACAACTTTTAGTAAAATTGCATCTGGATCATTCACCTTCAAAGTGAACTTAAAAATCAATCCTAACCGACCTATTTGGATTGGATTGATCGATTTGAACGATTCGATTGATTTTTGTCCAGCTCTATTTACGTGTATTCAGTCCAGACGACGGAATGAATGGTAATTTCGTAATTATGATTAAATACTTTCTTCATACTTCCACGGCAACTCTTTTCTTCTACTATAATATAATTATAATTATAATTAACAGAAGCTCCGGCACATTTAGTCCACGTTATACTTCTCCATCTCACCCACCCACGCACTCACTCACTCACCTCTCTCCAACAACCCCTCTCTCACGCACACGGAAACTACGCCACTGTGAGTCTAAAATTACCTTGAAAGGTCTACTTAATTTCTTAATTTTCTTGATTGTGTGGTGCTTTATGTTTCTGGGTTACTGGATTCAATTGGGTCGTTCTTTCTCTTATGTGGGTTATGATTTTTCTTCCCATTGTTTCTTTTTTATAGTTTTCGAAATTGTAAAAGAAAAAAAAAATCATTGATCTTTGATGTTGCTATCTGATATGAGTACTTGATTTATGATTATCGGCTGTAATCTGGACCATAATTCTTGAAGGTTTCTTTCTTTTTTTTCTTGTGAAAAGCATATTTTTTGGTTAATGGATAAAGGCTAAGAATATAATTTTTCATTGTTCATCCTTGTTCATATCTGCTATTTTATGGTGTAAAATCTTGTTAAAGATGGTGGAATTTGTGAATTAATTTGTCTATATTCTATTTTCCTTTTAGATTTGAGTGCTTATCCAGTGACATTAACCACATTAATTGTTTTTTAGCAATTTTATTTTTAGCTGAGTTTCTTGATTATTGGAATATGGCAATTTAGACACAATTGCATTGATAAGTTCTTTGCTGTTCAGGATCAAATTATGGCTGGTTTCGTTCCAGGTTGTTATTCTTCTAATTGAATTTTATCCATACCTCTCAGGTCTTGAAATTCGCCTTGCTCTGAAATAAAACTTAGTCGGATTCAATGGTGCATAGTTGGAAGTGATTATAACAGGTGTAACTAATTGAATATCAACACACTGAAATGTGAGTTTGATATACAAAAATACCACTAACATTATGTATGGAATGCAAATTACATGAATCATATTGGTACTGTAAAACACCGAACATTTTGTAAAACACGACGGAAGTATGAATGATATGGGTAGGGTAAACTATAAGCATGAATTCATTTCATGACAGTAGAGTGAAATATCATATCATTCAGATATTTAGTAGGAGATTTTTATATTGAGAACGTATGGGAGAAAGTTATAGTTACATCTATAACTAGATATCAATTTTGGAAGTTATTTTCATAAAACTCAATACGTAGTATATGACAGGTGGAAGGATTATGTGGTCAATGGTATTGCCGTTTTTTATCTGCCACGCCGATTTATTATTTCATTCCTTTAGGGTAATGCACGATATTCTATTTTTGAAAAGCTTGAAAATCAGTATGGTTTTGTCTTGTCCTTCAACGTCTATATATCTTATCTGCACGACATTGTTCTCAAACTTCAGCAGCTGTTACCTAGGAACACTTCTCATTTTGCTGTTTATAGTCACTTTACCATATATATCTAGATTTTCTCAAGTTAGAAGTCAGATTATGGTTTAGACTAGAGAATGCATCCATGTATGGATACATTTTTTTCTTACTTTTTAGGAAATGTCATGAAGAATTCAAAACCAGGAAAAAGTGCAGCACATTTTGGGATGAGTCAACAGGCATAATGCAATGGTTAATGGTCTTCTCTTTGTTATTCCTTTGGCATATCGATGAGGGTAGGCGTGTATTGATGAGATTAACATAAGTTTCACCTAGCCACTCTCTCGACTTCCTCTCTGACTGAAAGACTGACCAAAAAAGAAAACGGAAAAAACATGTGACTATTCTTGTTGATTTTTGTGCACTGTCTTGCAGAATACATGATGGACATAGTCAAGGGTAGTGTTTATTTGAAATATAACAAAATATAATTCTCAACATTTTATTTTGGCTACAGACCAACCAAGCTATACAAAATATAACAAAATATTTAAGTAAGGCATGTGTAGTGTTTATTTGAACTCCACTTGATCGATCATTTAACAACTTCATTTCTTGTCAACTCTCTTTTAAAGCAAAAGAATAAAAACTAGTTATATATTTGCAAACTTCTGAATATATGGGAAATGCTATCGTATTATTCATCACCTTCAAAGAAAAAGCATATCCCTTGCAATTATTAAATTTCTAAGTACTCGTTGACAATCTCGACGAGAGTTCCTCAAACTCATGTTCCTCAATATAATAATTGATCTGTTTAAGTGTTGAAATATTTTTGAAGAATTGATTGTATTTAGAAGTGTTAAAAGGGTATTTTAAGTATTACCTTACTGTCAAAGGTGTCACAACATGGATGAAAATTCGTTGGGCTGATTTAAGTAAGTCTTACCGCTATTATTTATGCTGAAAGAAAAATGGTTATTCAAAAACTTGAAGTAATGGAGCTTTATGTAATTTTCAAAAAGAAAAGGGAGACTAAAATTTTCATAAACTTTAGGGGAGGTATTCTTCATTTAAAACTAGAGAAGAAGGGAGGGGTCTTTCTAAAATTGTCATGAACTCGGGGGTATATGTGATATTCAAAACTTAAACTAAGAAAGATTTGTGTAATTTTAGGGAAGTGAGGGAATGTCCACGTAATTTACCCTTTTTTTAAGAAAAGAAAAAAATCCACTTAAATATAAAGAAATCTAATTCATTATTCGCGATCCAAACAATATGAGCTGCTAGCAAGTAGAATGAGGCTTAAATAATTTTTTTTTTCATTATTTATTTTACCAACCATTCGACCCAATTCATCCCTTCGACACAACATTTTACCTGTTTATGCCCGATTTTAAGAAATGCATTAGCTAACAGACAGCTTCAGTGGGCAGAGCCCCCTAAAACTACAGCAAAAATATACAAACGGAAGGAGCCTATTTCATAAGCAAACAAGTGAAATAACACAACTCCAAGAAATTTGTCTGTTTCATAGGATTTGGGATGAATGAAACCAATCCCAAGTGCAATTTGGTAATGGATTACACGTTTCAAAGACTATGACAATCCACAATTTGCCTGCTTCATGAAATATAAATAACAAGGGCAAAAATCCTCAAAAAATTAAAAAACTGTTAACATTGCTAGAGGTAAACTGGTCACCAGCACTTGATAATAAACTTGCAAACATTAAAAAAGCTTATTTAACACCCTGAAGTACTGGAAGTGAAAACAAAAGTAAGGTTTACACAATGGAGTAAAGAAATTGGTTGGGAAAATAAGGAAAAGAAACTATTATGTTTAGACAACAAACAATTTCTTTGAGCTCCACCTCTTTTTGACGTTTTCAATTGCCTCCTCCCTCATCCTCAGAAGCTCCCGGCAACGTAGCTGATACTGCAAATCAATTGCATCAAGCTCTAGCTTCAGGTCATGGCAGTGTTCTTTGTCGTGGTCTTTTTCACTCAGCGGCAAGGAAGTAATGCTTACACACATATCATTAGACACACCATTCCATGAACCCACGAAGGAGGTCCATGAATTCTTTGTACATTCACTCATTAGCGATTCACCAATGCTCGCCTTGTGCTTCTCAAGGTCACAAGCGGATATCCAATCATTCTTATGTCTGGCATCTGAGGTTGATACCACATTGTGTTTGGAAGATGGCACGACTGATTCTCCAGCATCATTGCATTTTGATCCAGAGAACTGTGAAGAAAAGCCTTGCAAACTACCTTCTCTGCCAGGAATGATATTTGAGCCATAGTCTTCGGTATGGGGTGCTAATACCTGATTACTCTGAAGCACAGCAGAAACACCGTAAGAACTCTGAGCTCCACCCAAACTTCCAGAAGAAGTTTTCCAGGTGGGCACAAGTCTTAAAATTAAGCTGTCAATTAACTCGGCTATAAAAGCAATATCTTCACTCCACAAATCAAGCTGTTCTACCATCTCCGAAGCAATTGAAAGTGCCGTATCAGCATTAAGGTAAAATATGAAGTGAATATTTCTCGTCCGACCTGCTAGAAATATTGAAATCACTAACTGTATAATATTAGTGTGCTTAGAGAGGGGGGGGAGTAGAATCAGAAAATGCTTAGCAAGAGATCTTTGTCTGTATGGCATAATTACGTACCAGACAAGTCAGCAATCCGCAAATTTAAAGATATTGTATCGTCGTCAAACTTTTCCCCTTCTATGGTAAATTCATTTCTCTCACTGTATCTCTGAAGTTTTACAGTAGAAGAAGTTCCAATCATGCTACGCGCACAAGTGCCAGCTGATATCATATTGTAATTAGGGTCCACGTCCATGAAAGGCAAATCAGATTTTAGCGAGATCGTTGACTTAGGTGTAAAATCAGTTAGCTGCAGAGGACCACACATTAAATCCTTAGGATTCTCGGCCAAAAGGAATGCTTCTTTCAAGAGCTCCATAGCAGTTAACCTCTGAGATGCTGGAGCCAAACAATTTTCTATGAACTGTTTCACTACGGGGTACTTCACTTTATTCAGAGCAGCTGGTTTTATGCCCTGCGATAGATTAATTATGATGATAAATGAGTTACACTTCTATTAGATGAGGAAGATGCATTTTAGGGTCTTGCTATATGGCACAGTATAGCAGTGGTCAATGAACTTACTGAAGTGACCTTCTTGTATATTTGTGCTTGATTTTTACATTCACTGTATGGGTATTCACAGGTAATCAACTCTAACATACACATTCCGAAAGAATAAATGTCAACCAGCTCATTATATTCCTCTTCATAAAGCTCTGGGGCCATGAACTCGGGAGTACCTGTGGGAAAATCAATGGGCTGAAAACTTTAGAGCAGCAGGCTAAATAAAAGTGGCAAAATCTCTCGCTGCAAAAAGTAATTACCAATAACACTTCGAGCAATGGGTTTGTGCATAATTGTGGCCAATCCAAGATCTCCAATTTTAACTTCTCCGTGATTCCCATTGACAAAGATGTTGTCACATTTTAAATCTCTATGAATAATAGGTGGACTGTGAGTGTGCAGATAATGTAAACCTCGCAGGATCTGCCTAGCCCAGTTCTTGATGGCCTTTAAATCAATGTTCTTATGCCTCTTACGGTACCTAAATCATAAGGAAAAAAATAAAATAAAAAACTTTTCCTTAGCAACAGAAATGTTAAGGAAAAAAAAAACCAAAAAAAAAAAACAAAACACAAAGTGAACAGCTCAAATAGAATAAGAACCAAGACAATGAGACAACACTTACTGCCTCAAACTTCCTGAGGTGAACAACTCAGTTATCATGTTAATAGTTTTTTTCTCGTCATCCACCCAAGAAGCATATGACCTTATGATGTTTTCGTGTTTCAGGGTCCTTAACAGGTGAACCTCAGAGTATAACCTCTCTAAATGTTCAGGTGATTGCAGTACATCATCAACGCTCACTTGGTTCCAAGCAACTTCTATTCCATCTATTTCATCAAAACCCTTGTAGCTACAAAAGAAAGCAAGCAGAAGTAAATTTTGACAGGCAGATTAATACTCACACTTGTTGGATAATACACTTCCTGAAAGTGACAATAAACTAGTCTATAAGCAAAGATACAGAAGATGGTCTAGGAAGCATACACATTCTTGAATGCTCCTCTCCCAAGGATTTCATTATACTGAAGAAAGAAACAGAAAATGGTAATAATGCCATCAAAACACAAAAAATTAAGCAAGATATCAAAATAAATAAAGAAGAAAATAACAAGCCAGTAGTATGAACTAGTTTTCCATAAATGCGTGTGCACACTTTTGTAGATTTTTTTTTTGTAAAGCCGTAGGTGGGGGCGTAACTTTTAAAAAGATTCATATTCCCCAAAGTTTCTATTGAATTACATAATATTATTGAAAAACTCAGAATTCAAGACGTCACTAAAAGCAATTTCTGACTTAGAAATATAAATTATAATAAAATTATGAATTATGATCATAGAAACAATAAATCGAGTCTGTTCCATGCTCACATCGACTTAACAGGCATGATTGTCCAATAGAGAAGATACCTTCTAACATTATATTTTATGAAATTTTGAAACATAAGAGAAAGATAATTTTACATATTAAACTCACTTATCAATGCTATCCTTTTCACCCACCTGTGCAAATGAGTAAACACTGATCATTCATATCTCATCAATGATTAACATATATCTTCCAGTAAACAACAAGTATGCTTGACTATGGACTCACTGGTAAATAGTAATGGTTCGGAAGATAATAGCATTACGTCTTTATTGAATTTAAGCCCAGTTACTGAAATAAAGAAACCCAAAAACAACACTAAACATTATAGAAAAATTTCTAATAATTTATAACTAGCTTGAAACCGGAAAACAACACAAAACGTTATGGAAAAATTCTAATAATTTATACGTAGCTTGAAACAGAAAAACAACACAAAACAGTATGGAAAATTTTCTACTAATTTATACCTAGCTTACACAATCTAATTCGATGCACAGGGACTAGAAAAGTAAAACAAGAACACTACACAAAACTTTATTCCAATAAAAATGAATAACAAAATAAACTAAAAATACAAGCTTTTATGTAGCTAAACAATGAATAGAAGACTTCAAATCTAACTTGTTTGTAATAAGAATATACCCGAATGTAACGCTTGTCGGGGGAAATTTCTACGACATCAGACTCAGTATGTTCCATCTTTGGTTTCTCACTCCTCCACACAATATCCCCACAATTCATACCCAAAAAATTAAAAAATATAATCCAGAAAAAGAAAAAAAAATTTTGAAAAACTAATTGAACTGTACAGTTATAATTCTAGTTAAAGAAAGAAATGTTCAGAGAAGGCTTCACATGCAATGGAAAATGTGTCGATGCCCGACCCAAATTGAAATGGACATCCAAATAAATTCAGTTGCAGTGAATACAAGGAAGGATTCGAATTCGAATTTGAATTTTCTTTTCCTTCAATTACCCTACCCATCTCATTTAATTCTTCAACCCCGAAAAAAAAAATTGTAAAACTGAAGAAGTTAATTGGGACAAAGAAAGAATTAAGGCATGAGATAGGAAACCCTAGAAATCGGAAAACAAACCCTATTGACAATCGAAAGCGGAAATTGAAAAGAGAAAAATTATAAAACCTAGGCACGAGCAGAACTGATTAATGGAAATTTATGGATGAATGAACAAATATAACAGTACAAGGGGATTTTCGTTTCGAATTTCTTTGGAAACCATTGATTTTCCTTCCGCAAATATAGAATAGATTAGAATTGGATTTTGGGAATTCAATTAATTGGGGTCTACAAAGCACGAGAATCGGAGAATGCAATGCGATTTCTGATAAGAATAAGATAATAAATAATTATAGACTGTCAAGGAACACAGGGGTGTCGTGGTGTAGTTGGTTATCACGTCAGTCTAACACACTGAAGGTCTCCGGTTCGAGTCCGGGCGACGCCAATTTCATTTTCGACTTTTCCATAATAAATAAATTTTTAGTTTAGCCTTATATATTATATATATTTTATTTTGTCATTGCTATTTTCCCCCATTTTCACAATGCTTTTGGACATTTTCTTTAATTTATGAGCAAATTTCATAAATTTCCTTGAGGTTTATGAAAATTACATAGACATCCTTTTTCTTTATAAAAAATTCAAAAACCTTCTATCCTAGGTAAATTTCTTATCTTATCCTTCTCTCTTATGTTATAATTATCGATATGATTATATTTCTCGTATTTTTTTCTTAATTTTAATCTAGACAAAAATAAATTATTGTAATCCTAATTTTATTTTATTTTTTTGTATAAAGTTATGATCATAATCATATTTTTGTGAATTTGGACAATGATCTAATACAATTAATAAAAAGATGAACTAAGCCACCCCATTAAATTTAATTACATAACATTTCATTTTCCTCTCTCCTATTATCAACCACACAATCCTCCATAAAATAATATTACACATAAATCAAAAAAATTTCCTTTTTTTTCAATCGTTCATTTTTCAAAAAAATACTATTCCACCCATTTTCAATTCTAGAAAATGGTGGCCAAACGGGGGCTAAATAACCTTGGGAATGGCACAATCTATAGATAGAAATTACCACGTAAGGTTTGATGTCAAATTTTTTGCATTTTTACTATTATGATTAAACTCTAGAATTAGTATAGTATAATAGGAAAGAGTATAAAAATTTGAGAAAATACTAATAAATCAAGCAATGTAAAAAAATTAATGAATTTTCAATTATCTTTATTTAACCATTCTAAAGCATTTATTTATGATAATTTGTTAATTAGTTTTGAACGTTTTTGAAAAAAAAATTATATTTAAATTTTTATAACAATATTTATGAGTATTAAAAGTAACAACTAGATTTACTAAATTATTTTAAATAATTTATTTATGTTGATTTTTTAATTATTGTCAATTTGGGAAAAAATCGTATTTAATAAGTATACGCATTATTACAATTGTATTAAAATTTTGAACTAGCTTCATTAAATTATTCTAAAAGGTTTGTTTATGTTGATTGGTTAATTATTTGTCAACCGTATTTGAAAAAAAAAAATCTTATTTAGTAATAAGAAAGGGAAAATACGTAGTTTAAATGTAAAATAATATAACAATTTTAAAATAGAATGAGGAGTAAAAAATTAAAAAAAAATGTGTATTTATTTAGGGAAAGTAATTTGATTTTTTTTAAAGGCAAGGTATCTATGTAAATTGTAATTATCATAAACCTGTGGGTTTATAAGGCTTATGTAATTTGCTATTTAATTTTTATTGTGAATGCAAACGTGTGCGAAGGAATTGAAATTATCCACTTTTAGAGTATCACGCATCAGAATAAAGCTGGTTGAGCGTGGCCATGTTCAATAAGCAAAGCCTAAAAGAAAAGTGATTATACAATTCTTTTCATTTAAAATTATGTCATCCAATCAATCATCACATTTGCCCTTCCAAAATCATGAACATTGCTACTTGGCTCACTATCCAGGTCAGCAGAAATATCATTTCAACGAAGAAAATTTTGCTTCCTTTAATGTTACTTCTTTAGTTATATCTAGTACTATTCAATCCAATAATATGCCACAAACTTTGCACGTTCCCGAAAATTTTTATTTTATTTACCTCATCATTTCACGACACATCCCCAGAATGACATTAATTGTATGAATTTATTTGCTTGTGTAGAAACAGTGCTGCCAAAATTTCACCAGATAATGCTGTGACAACATCTAATTGGTCCTTTTTTTCTTGGCCATTGTTCAATAAAAAACCTGCCAAGTGTATTCTGTGTAAATTTTGGCAGCATTTTTTCTGTACACAAAGCAAGGCTGTATTTGACTTTTCTTTGCAAATTCGAAAATGAAAGAATAAAGTCAAATATCAACAATTTGGGAACAGAGAATATCGTTAATTGGATCATGCTGTCTCTATCAGAAAAACACATCAAAGGAAATTCCCTACAAAGTTTCATCTGGGATTACATTATTCTCATGAGTTTGATTCAACGAAAAGGCTCGCCTGAGGATGTAATTTTGCTTCTCTCAGAGACAAAGGAAGTTTGTCAGGGCCGTAGACAGTGCGAGGAAAGTTGGAGGCGAGGCTGTAACTATCAACTTCTAAGCAGCCCAAAGAATCAACATAGTCGTACAGTGTTTGTATAGTTGCTGTAGAATGAAACCTTCTCTCCTTGCGCTCTCCATTTGGAAAACGAACCAAAACCTAACAAATGGGGAAGAACCACGAACATTAATTTCATGCAAGTTAGTTCTTTTACATTTGAATTGAAATGATCTCTTGATCAAGGTCAATGGAGTTAGATATTTTACATCTCAATCCACACCACCACAATGAGGTTACAAAGTAAATAGCACGAAACACTTCACTTGACAGGGTATTGATTTAAATTCTTTATCAAGTGTTATTCTGCTAAATCATCCTTGAATATAAATCTCATGACTTTCTACGTTAAATGTAAACAAAAACTGGCCATTTTCTAATA